AATTAACAGTGGCAGGGACATACATTCATCAAGCGTTCTATATATCATACAAACGAAGGTAAGATGCCATTTGCTTTTGCAAGGTGTTTGGAGTCCGTGGGAGTTCCATGGGACGGGCATTGTTGTAGTGCAGTTGTCGTGCATCCATTCCGAAATCTAGTTTTGGTGTTTAGATCATGACTTTACCTGCATACACATGTGTTGAACGTTGCCCGGAAAACGATGGCATTTCAGCAAGTTAGCATTTTTCGCGTGATTTGTCGCATGTTAAGAATGAAGGGGGTGCGTGCTGCTTTGTTGGGGTCCTCCATGTAGAAGATTATTTCCCAACACAATCCTCCATTAGGGCTTTAGAGAGAATGTTCCACATCTCATGTTCACACATGCCTACTCCCCGTGAATTCCAGAATATCACGAGACTCCGGGCAAAGACCTGTTGGAGACAGCAAAAAAACAAAAACAAACAGAAACAGCATTTACAGAGGCTAACAATCTGCTGGCACGGGTTGTAACGCAGAGCACATTGAGGCGGGCTTGCGTCCAAGCTGACTGCTGGCTCTGCTTGCATGACCGAATTCAAGCGGACCGACAAACAGCGGAACACCTAGATTAAGCCGAACACTAGGTGGCACATCCTCGTTCCCGATCAAGGAATGTAGGGCTGTTTCATTTCAGTGCAGGGTGGATTCCGGCTGTCATTTTGGCGACACGGCGGGGTCCCCTGGTCGATCCGAAGGCCCTTGGAGGGATACATCATATCATAACGGTTCCCTCCCTGACTCCGAACGCCTTCTGACCCGTCCAGTTGCCTCGGAGCGAGGCAGGCAGGAACCCTCACTGTCGCAACAAGATCCTCGATCGCGGCAGGAGGTCCAGTAATTGACACACAGTGTACAGTTCGGCTTAACGGGCACATGACTGGATTTGGGTTGGAGGGCTCAACGTTCGGTACTGGGGCTCCGACTGATACAGGGCCCTTCATTGTCCTAATGGGAATTTTCATCATAAGCTGTCAGGTTTCCTCTTACTGTCAGAGGGCCCCGACCAACGCAATACGCCCTCTGTCATTCGTCGTCCCTCCCCGTCCCCGTTCAGCAACTGTGCCTGGCCGACTCGAGGCCTCGTTGATGGCACAGAGCACTCTGTTCGGGCACAGTGTGCCTTGACCGTCACAGGAGCCCCGCATTGGTGCAGGGGTGCCAACCAATACAAATCGTGTGTTTGGCCTGTTGCCTGTTTGGGAAATGGTCCTCAGAGCTCAAACTGACACGGACAAGCTGTTCGGTGTTGGTGGTTCTTGGCCGAAATAGAGGTCTCATTGTCTCAGGAGGTCCTGCATCGGTGCCCTTTGATTGATAGTTCATGTCACGGCCCACGGGCTTGGATCCTTGTGTGATCTTTTTCCGGCCTGTCGATCCATCATGCCCTCCAATCGCGCTATTGGTCGTCGGTTTCGGTGGTACCCGGGACCCTCTTCGGGCCTCATCGAACACCGTCCTTCGCCGATTTGGACCCCTTGCCAACATAGGACTGCATGTTAGGAACTGTGGCCCCTGAAGGATGCAGGACCCCGACCGGTGTAAATGGTTGGGCCCAGGCTTTGCCGCGGTGGTGGAAAATGGGCCCTCATGCCCTATACATCCTTATCAATGCAGGAGGCCGGAATGGCACTTGAGTACTTTCTCCGCCCGGCCATTCGGGCCCTCAAATCGGGACCCTAATCGTCGTTGAGGAAACCATAGGGGGGGGGGGGGCTTGTGCCCATTATCTCTACCTGTGCCACTGTACCTCAATACTCCTGTCTTCAATTTTGTTGTCCGTTTGACGTTTTGTTGTTTCACCTCTCCTATTTTGAGAGCCAGCAAAACGACAAAACCCATTTCGTAAACAGGGTACACGAATTTTGCTCCTCGTGGGCCAATAATCCATGTTTTAATTTTTCCCTTTAGCGCCGCTCCCTGGTGAGACATTTGCAGAGGGGCCCGATGTATTCAGCGTGAGCTTCAGCCGTGACGACCAACTTCGGGCGCTAGGTGTATGTACACGGAAGCATTAATTTGCTCAGAACAGCACAGTTTCCTGAGCCCATGTCATCTATTAAGCTTCGCGCCCGCCCTTTGTCAGTGTTCACGGCCGGCAATCATCATCATCATTTTTATTCAACAAGACATGCAACAGAATGCAACGTAAATCAGAAAGGCAAGAGCTGAAATCGAAGCACCTTACCTGAAACACAAAAGAAATGCTAAACTGTAACAGTTGCCACGGTACAGCTCACTACACCCAGCCACTCGTTGGTGCTGGGGTCAGCCATCACACGCCTCACCGGGGGACACGCGTCCATGTGGTAAGGTGAGGGGATAGCTAATGCATTAAAAGTCATGAATCGTCTAGATTTGAGCAGAAAATTTTGGAAATGGTAAGCTACCATCAAACTGTTGCCGTTGAAATAGGCGCCGCTGAAATAGGCGCCATGCAATAGAGTTTGTAGCTGATGTGAAGATAACTTGTGTCTAAAATCGATGTGCAACGTTTGAAACATGCTGCCAACCAGTCGTTTGTGTTGCTTTTCATGCTTTTGACACGAAAGAACGAAATGAGGAATGCTCTCAGTTTGGCGTCACATTTGCATGCCTGCGAGCTTGTTCTTTTAGCAAGAAATAAATGGGAATTCAAGCGGGATATAGCATTTTAGTTTGACATGTAAATACTTCTTTCCTTTGACCGTACGGTGTAGTAATGGGGTGGATCGGGTAATCCCAGCCGCTCGCAAAGCTGTTTTAAGGTGGAGTGAGCGAGGTGTCGTTTAGGGTCGCGCACTTCATTTCATTGCGTTAGCTCTTGGGAAAAAATGATTCATGGTACGATGATGTGCGATGGGGTTATGGTGTGCGTATGTCCTGTATGCGATATGTCGTCGTAGATGGCGTGGCAGTAGTCGAACGAGGTATGATGTACACTTTAAAGATTTGCCGAGAATGGGCTCTATATAGGTGTTAGTAATATCGGATACAGAGGGGTGTGAAAAGAATAGTTCAATGCACCACACCCTGTCAATAACAGCTGGGCGCAGTGGCAGCTGCATTGACATCATGAACCCGCCTAACTGCTGCTCGATGAAATCGGGATATAGTTTTAAAGTTTGGGCTGGCAATCTTGAATTTTTCAGTGATTCGTTTACTTAAAGCTGCTGAAGCTGGAATGTATGCAACCCGGTTTACTGGTGTTCATATCTACCATAGGTTTTATGTCACAAGTGTTTTTGCTGTAAAGGTATGTTTGTTTCATGATTGATTTGTTTTGGCAGCACACCCTGGTTTTGAGATGATTTTAAAACTTGTTAATACGAGAGATGCACAATTTGCCTGCAAATATTTTTTTACCCAGCAGCCCGCCAAGTCTGACCCATAATCCAGTCAAAAGCCGCGAGTTCTTGCTGGTCAGAAATTGGCGGGCTGGCATGCAGAAAAGTTGCGTCTTAAGTACCAGTAGGGCGTGTATGGCGTTGCTTGGTTGTAGCAGGTGGGTGTTTTCAATATTTAGCGTGGATTGCGCGGCGAAGTGGTTGTTAAGTAATGTTGCTTTTTCGTATCCGTCAGATGCGATGTCACCATCGGCTGATTGCGGTGGGTGGAATGATATCATCTCGTGTCATGTTATGCGGGTGTGTGCAGATTCTTCAGGTGGGATTAGTTCAAGGTTCGAGCGTCAGCGTGTGAGACGTTGGCTGTCAAAAGCAAAGCACTGTCGACCAGTGACAATTATTGCGCGGTGAAGCGCACCACGCGCAGCCTCCGGAGTGTTGTGTTAAGCACAGTACGAGAACGCTGCCCCTCTCAGGCTAAGACTCAGATATTGAGACCATCCAGAGCATGCTCATGTTCATTACGGCCTCGCGTTCAAATAAAAGTGGTTGGCTGCTATCAGATGGCACATTGGCAAATATAAACGCAACACATTCAAAGCCCTTCATGAGCTTAAAGCGAAACCGAGGAGCACCGGGCGGAGAGCAAGTTGAACAACTGTTAGCCCAGGTCCCTGCACACTTCAGAGATATCGCCTCAAGTAGAGACCAGCCAGCGGTGATAGGGAGCGGCGGCAGGTTCGGCGGGTCGCGCTGCCGTAGCGCTCGTTCACAGAAGCCTGGGACTCGGCCCCGGGCGGAGCCTGAGCACTGTCGCCGTCTCTCCCATCCGTCGACCTCGGCGCTCCGACACACATGTCAGCTCGTCGGCAGGAGCTGCCTGTTGCGCACTCAGTGCACATGACAACGTTGGTCGTGTTTTCCTCGAGAACTCGCACAGCGAGAGACCACTCGGCACGGACACCCCACTTACGTGCTGACCTTGTTGTGGACGGCCCTGGCAGCGGATGTGCTTCTGCGCTGTGCGCTGGCGAGAGGGTACAGCAAGACGCAGCTACTCTTACCACGGCTTGTAAATCACTGTAGTGACTCAAAGACAACACTGACAGCCGCTTTGTTTTCAGGAAGAGCAATTATCAGCTGACCAGTGGAACCCGCGG